TGTGTGTGTGTGTGTGTGTGTGTGTGTGTGTGTGTGTGTGTGTGTGTATGTATGTACGTGTGTGGGTATGTGGGGAGGTTGGCGGTGGGGGGGAGGCGAAATGACAGTTAATTCCTGTTAACTCTGACCAAGTAATGTACACTGGGCATTTGTGAAGCAAATTGTTGTATTGTGAAAAATACGAATCTGTCCACTCTTGTTTTGCTAGTGAACATTAGCATTGATTATGATGTGGACATATTTCTCAGACTTTTTGGGTCTTCATCTAAATAGCAGCAGCAAATAATGAAGTATTTAGGCTGAGCCATCATCACCTTGTGTTTCCTTGAGTTTAAATTGAAGTAAAAATGGAGTAAAAGACCATCTTATTTATTTTTAAAATCCCCTATCAGCAGAAAGTAATTAACTCAAGATCCACAATTAGCCTCACAGCAGTCCATATTAACTACCTCCAACTATCCTAGGTCTTTCAGAGGTGGTATAATTTTGAGATTATTTTGCACTTGAAACAGAGAGGCTTATAATAACTAGCTTGAAACACATTTAAGGGTGTGAGGTTTTTCCTTTTTCTTTTTGTGTTAATATCTACCTTGTCTAATGATAATTTTCTGGTTTGTAACTGGAAAACAGCAAATATTAGAAGAAAATTATTTATCCCTGTATAAAGCTAAGTCTTTCATAAGTCTAAAAGTAGCTGCTTGGCTTTAACTGGAAATTTCATTATTGAATTAGTAACTTGACACAAAAGAATTAACAAAGTGAATCAAATACTCAAGCACAATGAAGGAAATTTAAAGAGGCTCACTCATCACCATTGCTGGCTGGTAAAGTATAATTGCTGGCGCTGCCTTGTTTACCTTTTTGGTTTGGTTTTGTTTTAAAGGAAATGTTCACTTCTATAGCATTCCTGCATAATTCAGATACTGCACAAAGCTCGATCTTGGGAACCTATTTTGTAGCTCTCAGAATGTTTTTTATGCAACCTGCTTTTACAGGTTTAAATTACATTTTGTGACATTGTTTTTGTGATTGAATTAGAAACTTTTTTTTTTCTTTAGTTAAACCTGTGATAAGTAATTGTCACAGTTAGCGCCCTGGTACAATGCTAATTTGAAGTGACATGTCCATACTGGCCCTCTGTAACATGAAGAAGCCTAACAGGTGTGAGGGGTGTGGCTTCCCATGGGCTCTCTTGAACTTCTAACTAGAGAAAAATAGCAGAAAAAGTGAAATGAACCTTGAATAAAGCTGTCAGCAGTAATTATCTCAGCAACACTTTGTGGGGAGATAAAATAAGCACTGATGCTTTTATAACCTGAGCACACTGCATCCAAGATAGATTTTTCACCCATTTAATATAAACTTCTAAATACCTTTCCAGAGTATTTTCATACAGACTAATTAAACAATAATTAACATGAAATATAAATTGTTGAAAAACATGCATTTGTTTTTAGTTTAACACCTGGTTTCTTTTTGATATTTAAGTAGTTTTAATAACAGAAAACTTTTTTCCGTGCCTTTTTTTTTTTTTTTTTTTTTTTGGTAAGCCATTATGGTATGAAATCTCAAATAATATGTAGAAAATTATATTCTGTTTTCCACAATTAGAAAAACGCTTGAAAGTTTGGTTTTCAGTTTTTTTGAGAGGTATTCAGTGTTTTGAACATACCATCATATAGCTCATATATGAAACAGATAATACATATATGTAAATGAGCTGGATGACCTGCAAGTCATCATGTTAGCACCACTGTATTGGAGTAGAGTAGGAATCACAGAAGATTTGATCAATGTTTTTCAGTCTATTCTCCAAACATAATTCATTGTCTTTTTCTTTGACAGCTGTCTTTTAAAAGTATGCTTTAATTTATTTGGCAAAATAATTCAAATCACTAATGACTTTGTTTGCCTGACCTGAGTAGAGTATAGAAAAGCTAAAGTGAGATTTTTGTTTATAAATTTCCTGGCTATAGACGCTAACTGTGGGAAACAACAACAACAACAACAAACAGATGAAACATGGTTTTGCAACATGTTGTTCTCTTTGTTTTTTTCATGGTCTTAAAATGTAGTAATATTTTGAGCAATCTAACGACTTAACTTTTTTTTCCCGTAATTCAGCTTTACATTGTTCCTGCATCCCCAAAATTAAAAGCTTGACAAGTCAGCCTGGTTGGTTTACATTTCAGGTGGTGGTGATATTATTTTTAAAAGCTAGGAATCTCCAGGCACAGTAGCTCACACCTATAATCCCACCACTTTGGGAGGCTAAGGTAGGAGGATTAATTGAGCCCAGGAGTTTGAGACCAGTGTGGGCAACGTAGCTGGACTCTACCAAAAATTTTAAAAGTTGGCCAGATATGGTGGCATGTGCCTAAAGTCCCAGCTGCTCAAGAGGCTAAGGTGGAAAAATTGCTGGAGGCTGGGAGGTAGAGGCTGCAGTGAGCTGTGATCAAGCCACTGCACTCCAGCCTGGGTGACAGAGTGAGACCTTACGTCAAATAAGTAAATACTAGACATGAAGTTAGTTCTGACTGTGTTTTGCTATTAGCACTGTGATTGATCCTGGGTGAAAATATGAGCCTCATTTTTCTTGTCTGTGAAATGGCAATGTGGCAAACTATGCCATGTTCATTCTCACTAAGAGGGAATAAAAGGATTAGGCAAAATAGCATAAAATAGAACTAGCATGATCTATACTTTATTCAGAAACCTAAAGCTGGAAAATTTTTGGCTTTATCAAAGCAGAAACTGTTCATCATGACTTGTGTCTCTAGCACTCAGCTGAGGTCTTGGCACATTGTGGTTGCTCAGTAACTATTAGTTAAGTGAGTGGATAATGGCATTTTGCACTCTGCTTACAATACTGTCTATCTGTTCACCCAGAGTGATTTAGCAAAATTCATACAATCAAGCATAGATAGATTGGTTGATAGACAGATATAGATACACATACTCTTTAATCTTCACAATAATCTTATAACTTAGAAGACTTCACAGAGGTGGAAATTAAGGCACTGAGAAGGTAAGAGAATTATCCAGACTCATGCAGCTGTTAACCAGCAGAGCCAGGATTTCAAACCCTAGAAGAATGGAGTCCCAGTTCATAATCGTTCTGCTTTTATACCTCTCCAGTGAATTATAGTGACATCTACTTACGAAGGAAATTGCCTTTCAGTGACACATTTTTCCAGACACTTCCTTGTCATTGATACAAATGATTTAAGAGATATGGGGATACATTTTGGGGTAAGATTTCTCCTTCTTCGGTGACATACTACTTTTTCCCCTGCCCTCCTAGGACAGCGAGTCCCCTGAACCATTACAGTCATTGAAGCAATGTTGCTGCCTTTCTTAGGACTACCATTTCCCTAGTGAACAGAAATGTCATAAATGGTTATGGCCTGGACAGACTTCCACAAATGTAGGATGACAGAGTTTTGATCTCTAGAAATTTGAATTTCCCCTCATTTGGGGAAATGAATGGTCATTTGCTGACCCACTCATGTAAAACCTCAGCCTATCGAGGTACGAGGTGGACTGAACTCCAGAGGCAGGGCTTAAGCACCTTACCAAATTGACGTCTAGCTAAAATAGGGACAGGGCAAAAGCAGCTTTCCATAAGACATGCCCACCAATGTGCCATGTCAGTTTATCATTACCTTGGCAACACCCAGAAATTACCACCCCTTTCCATGTCAACAACCAAACAATACAGAAGTTACCCCCCTTTTCCTAGAAATTTCTGCATAACCACCCCTTAATTTGCATGTAATTAAAAGCAGGTATAAATATGACTGCAGAACAGCCTTTGCGCTCCTACTGTGGGCACACTGCCTATGGGGGATCCCTGCTGTGCAAGGAGCAGTACCTTTGCTGCTGTTGTACACTGCCACTTCAATAAAAGTTGCTGTCTAACACCTCCAGCCCACCCTTGAATTCTTTTCTGGGCAAAGCCAAGAACCCTCCTGTACTAAGCCCCAGTCTTGGGACTTGCCTGCCCTGCATCACTGTGACATCACTTTGCCTCTGTCTACTCAGTTCCCACCTAGGATTCTGGGTCTCCCCTTAGGAACTAGCTGAATAAATGAGGTTTATTTCTGGAAGATTTGTCCAAGTATCACTGGATATGATTGACCACCAAAAGATACCAAGTGTTTTGGGGACAGAGAAAAAATTGAAATTGGGGAAGTTATATAGAAGGCTTTCAGAAAGAGATTGAGCTGAGGTTTTTTTTTTTTTTTTTGAGACGGAGTTTCGCTCTTGTTACCCAGGCTGGAGTGCAATGGCGCGATCTTGGCTCACCGCAACCTCCGCCTCCCGGGTTCAGGCAATTCTCCTGCCTCAGCCTCCTGAGCAGCTGGGATTACAGGCACGCGCCACCATGCCCAGCTAAGTTTTTGTATTTTTAGTAGAGACGGGGTTTGACCATGTTGACCAGGATGGTCTCGATCTCTTGACCTCGTGATCCACCTGCCTCGGCCTCCCAAAGTGCTGGGATTACAGGCTTGAGCCACCGCGCCCGGCCTGAGCTGAGTTTTGGAGAAGTTCTGTCACTTAAGTTTTTCTCATATTATCTTCACATACCTAAGAAATAGACAGGTGGAAAAGAATGGTGAGGAAAACCCAGGCAAGAGTAATGGAGTGAGCAGAAGCTGAAGAGTAGGCAAGTGCAAGGCACACTTTTGGATAATTGAACAAACCAACCTATATACAAAAATAGTGGGAGGTAATGACTGGAAAGATAGGCAGGGTTATGGCCTTGAACATCAGACTGAAAAAGTTTACAGTGTGGGAGAAAAAAACATGAGAATCATCTAGTCCTGTTTTTTCATCATACAGGTGATAAAACTAACAGAAGAGAGTTGATCAAGGTCACAGAATGAGTAAGAGGCAGATTTTGCACTTTAACCCAGGTCCTTCGATCAATGTACGGTGTTCTTCCCATGTATTTACACACATGGAATCATACCACAGGCAGACTGATAGGAGAGAGAAGTCATAAAAGGGCACCTTGCAGCCTGAAGACAATCCTTGCTTTGCTTTAATGGTGGCAACAGGAAAAAAAAAGTGGCTTACAGGCTAGTTAAATGTTTTTAAGATAAATGTTCTCAATAGGCTTAACTGGTCTCCCAAAGTCATTGTAGCAGACAGAGACACCCTTTTTAGTTAGTTTGTTTGATTGTTTTATTGTTGTTGTTGTTCTTCTTTTTGCCTCCAATAGCCTGTTGTCCTGTCTCTCAATTTTAGTTTAGTTCCTCTCACAGGAATTCAATGGGAAACCTGGAGCAAGTTCCACTTTTGGACATGGCTATGTAATGTATCCTTTTGAAATTCCCTGTCATAAACAGGTATTGAGTGATGTAACATACAGGCCCTTGAAACTCTTACAGCTACAATATATGTAAAAAAGTGTGGCACTCATAAGAATGTTATGTGGGAAATGATAAGAAACCGTCCTCTCTTGATAATTTAAATTTGTTCACTTAAGAAGAAATTTTTATTTAATATTTGTCAGCATCATTTGGATATCTTTGGTATGGAAAAGAACAAATAATATATTTGGTTGTTATGTGTATGTTTTAGAAAATATACTAATACAGTTAAATTTAATTGATGTAAGTTGGTATAAAACACTTAAATGATACCAACTCTGTCATCTAGGCTTACATTCTAAAAGACAAAAATAATTGGGCATTGCAACTGAAAAACACCTATATGATAATCCTTCTTCTAGCAAGGAGACAAAGATAAGGTGGTGTGCGATTTTTATCCTTTTTAAAGTTGAAAATCTAGTCCACTGTGCTACATACTTTTTCACTTACCTTTTTATTGCTGTCAACAAAGATAATATCCCCATTTCTCAGACAAGGAAACTGAGATCTTTTGAGATAAGCAGCTTTCCTGAGAAATGACAGTAGATATCAAAGCCAGGATCTAAGGCCAGGTTATTTAGATCCTAGTGCTTTATATATAGTAACTTAGTATTTATTTAATAAGTTATCAACTCTGAGTAACTATATGATTAGTATAACATTCAACAGTTAGTTCTAATTATCAAGTAATATGGGGAAGAAAAGCAGAGTCATAATCTGCACATATTCCAGATCTCTTTTTCCCCCTCACGATTCTTTACTGGTTATAGGCATATGTTTAATATATTATTTTCTCTCTTCTGCCCTCCACCAGAGGGTGCTCATAAGCAACTAAATGACAAAGCTGTAGCAATAGGAACTGAGAAAGAAGGGCTATTTTAATTCACAGTGTGGATTATTGGCCTCTTTGATTAAAAAAAAAAAAAAAAAAAAAAGGTTGACTTTGAAACAGAGCTCTTGATTCAACTGAAGTAACTTTGGTTTAAAGTTGCCTTACAAATAACATCTTGAGCACTTACATACCTGAGGATAATACTTTTTTATATAGGTAAAGTTGACCGTTCTCTCTAAATAGGTCTGAGGGGCTATGCCACTAGATAGGGTTAGGTTGGTCTAATAGGGCTGTATTTCTTATTGTGTAACTTAATGTTCTTCAGAAGTATTTTAATGTAAAATGCTAAAGAACCTCTTCTAGTATATTCACTAAAATCAATAAGTAATGAAGCACAAGACTATTGATATCTGTGTTTAGTTATAAAAGTATATTCATTTAGAAATTTTGCTATTTCTGTTACAGTGAGCAGCTCTTTATCTCCCTATGACATAATCTGGTTTTGGGGGATGAAATGCACTCAAAAGTTTTTTTAAAAAAGTTTTTGTGTTGAACAACCTCTCTTTGATAGGCAAAATCTCAAGATAATGTTGGGCAGTATAAGGAAGCATAAAAGTAGGTAATTATAATGTGGAAAAATAGTGTCAGGTGATTCACCTTGATTTTGAGAGTCCCAACAGATTAAACAACAGAAACTAAAAAAGTAAGTCAAGGGTATTTAAAATTATTATACATGTTTCCAAAAGGTTTTTTTTTTTTTTGTGGTGGTGGTGGTGGTGGTGGTGTTTGTTTTTTTGTTTTTTTTTTTCTTTGAGACGGAGTTTTGTTCTTGTTGCCCAGGCTGGAGTGCAGTGGCACAATCTTGGCTCACCACAACCTCTGCCTCCAGGGTTCAAGTGATCTTCCTGCCTCAGCCTCCAGAGTAGGTGGGGATTACAGGCATGTGCCACCACGCCCAACTAATTTTGTATTTTTAGTAGAGATGGGGATTCTCCATGTTAGCCAGGATGGTCTCAAACTCCCAACCTCAGGTGATCCACCAACCTTAGCCTCCCAAAGTGCTGGGATTACCAGCGTGAGCCACCGCACCTGGCCAAAAGTTTTTTAAAAGGAAATATGAGACAATTAAATCAAGATTCTTGTTTGTATTTTACAATTAACTGTAACATCTAAAAAAACACATAGTTGGCTAGGTGTGTTGGCTCACACCTGTAATCCTAGCACTTTGAGAGGCCAAAGGGGGAGGATTGCTTGAGCCCAGGAGATCGAGACCAGCCTGGGCAACAGATGAGACTCCATCTCTACCAAAAATAAGGAGACTCTCATTTCTACGAAAAATTTTAGAATTAGCTGGGCATGACGGCCTGCACCTGTAGACTCAGCCACTCAGGAGGCTAAGGTGAGAGGATTGCATGATGCTGGGAGATTGAGGTGGTAGTCAGCTGTGACTGTACCACAGCACTCCAGTCTGGGCAACAAAGAAAAACCCCTTCTCAAAAAGAAAAAAAAAAAAAAAAAAAAACCGAGATTAGAAGTCAAGAGAATATGCTTGTGCTATCATTAAGCAGATATGAGACTTGGGACAAACACTTCACCTCTCTATACCTCAGTTTCTTTTCCTGTTAAGTGAGAGGATTAGACTCTATCTTGTGAGGAGAAGCTGCCTTTCATTTGGAATCTGTTAGCGATGGTGGGATCACTGATGGAAGTTTACGAGAAGGCTACTGATACCTTCTCTCTGGAAATTCTCGTTATTAGCTTGGAATGGGGCAGGGGGATACTGGGTGGGGGAGGGTATGGCAGCAGCACTTGACTCAGCTAAGGCTTCAGCTAAGGACTCCTGGTTGGGATACCAGCAACTGATGAATTCTGAGGACTCTTCCAAATCTAGTATCTTGTGTGTAAAATGAAGCCATGTATAGCAGCCATCATTGTTTTTTCCAACTCTGCTTGCTTACATGGTAGCATTTGTGTTTATGTACATAGCAAAACCCCTCAGAACTTGTAACTGTTGGTGTTTATTTAATTAAACTTTATCAACTTGCCAAATCAATTGTGGACTGTAACACAGCAAGGCCAGGCAGAGAACACAGTTTTTTGAGCTATTTACACAGGAGTTTTGTTGATAATTGAGCTTGACCTGCACATCTCTTTTAATATTCTGTTGGTTCCAGAATATTATTAGTCACTTCCTTTTTAACAGTGTGCTTTTATGAGGTAACTAAACTGCTATTTAACCCTGCTACAAGAATGTGGCAGTGGGCTAGTCCAGACAAGTGCATGTATAGTTGGTAACTAGCATTCTTAATAAGCTTGCTTCAACCTGCCATAAATTAAAGCTCTGTGTGACTTTTCTAGCACTTAAGTGACAAAAAAAAAAAAAAAACAAAGAAAAAAAACAAAACAAAACAAAAAAAACCAGCTGGGGGAAGGGCAGAAGAAACCTCAGATTGTGAATAAAAATAAATAAGCTTTTCTGATTTGCACTTTGATTGGCAACAAATGAAATTTTAGCCTCATGACTCAGTTTGGTTTAAAGCTACCTTATAAGCATCTGAACATTTAAAAGGGATATTACAGCAGTCATTTCAGGGCTCCTTACTATAAATAGCTTTATTTACGTTGGAAATGTGCTGTAATAGAAAACTCCATGGCTTTTGGAGTTAAGTCTGGTTTGCCACCTGGTATCTGATTTATCTTGGACAAGTTACTTCTAAGTAACTTGTCTCTAAGGCTCTTTTATAATTTGTACAATTATGGTAGTCTTTAATTTACAGAGTTGTCATGTATGGTAGACATATGTTAAGCACTTATGTAGTTCCTGACGAATTGATGGTCTCCAGGAGTAGCTGTTTTCATTAAGCCAAAGACAGTAATTATTGGTTATCAGATAGTAAGACAAGATCTATTAGAGCCTTAATAGTTGTTTGATTGGATACTTTTTAAATGGTTGTGAGATAAACTGCCTGAGTTTTAATTTTGGTTCACCACTCAGTACCTGTTTGACTTTGGGCAACCTTCTTCATCTGTGTGAGGTTTAGTAACCACATCTCTAAAATGGGAATTATAATCCTTATCTGGCAGAGTTATTGTGAGAATTAAGTGGGGTAGTGCACATAAAGCACTTCGTGTAATAACAATACATATTAAGCTGTTAATAGCAGTTATTATTCAGTTATTTTTAAAAATATGAAATGATTTCATGGGTGTATATATACATATGTTAAAAGCAATACTTCAGGCTAGATGAGGTGGCTCCTATCTATAATCCTAACATTTTGGGAGACTGAGGTGGGCAGATCACTTGAGGTCAGGAGTTTAAGACCAGCCTGGGTAACATGATGAAACCCCATCACTGCAAAAATACAAAAATTAGCTAGACTTGTTGGTGTATGCCTGTAGTGCCAGCTACTCAGGAGGCTGAGGCAGGAGAATCGCTTGAACCTGGGAGGTGGAGGTTGCAGTGAGCCAAGATCACACCACTGCACTGCAGCCTGGGCAACAGAGTGAGACTCTGTCTCAAAAAATTTTAAAAAGCAATACTTTATATGAAGATAAAAATGCATGTATTAATATAACTATTGCCTTATTGAAGTATAATTGACTTATAATAAGTCATACATATTTTTAAGTGTACAATTGGATATATTTTGACGTATGCACACATAGATTATGAAGACCATCAGTGCAGTGTATTCAATGCTAATACCCAGTAGCATTCCCAAATCTGGATGAAATTAATTATGTTGATGCCTTGTTAGTATGACAAGCTTGAGATACAGTTTTTTAAAAAGTCTTATATCAATTGTTCTTTTTAAAACACATGAGAATTGTATTTTACAAACTGAGTGAATAAAAGATACAAACTATAAAACTGTAGTTTGAATCTCGTCCATTTGTGTTTACTGGGTGTGTCACATGCAGAGCAAGGAGTCTGCAGGTAACAATCACATCTCCTTAGTGATGTAAGAAGATCATAGTCCATTAGGGTTAAAAGGGATCTGAGAGGCCATTTAAGTTGGTTGTCCCTATGTTTTACAAAAGGAGATGTTAAGACTGTTGGTTTCTAACCCACCGTCACATAACGGGTGTTTATGCTTCCACTCTGGTACTCTTAAAATGTCTTAGTCATTGTCATTTATAATTAGAAAGAAAGAGACTGCAAGCATATATTTGGGAGAGGGTTAAAATTTGGCTATAAAATAAAAAATACTTTGAAGAACTAATTCAAATGTCTGTAATCCCAGCACTTTGGAAGGCCGAGGCAGATGGATCACCTGAGGTCGGGGGTTCAAGACCAGCCTGGCCAGCTTGATGAAACCCTGTCTCTACTAAAAAAAAAAAAAAAAAAAAAAAAAAAAAAA